AAAATTAGAAACTGTCAGAAGGCTTTTAAATTCAAATAAAGAGAGGACAAAAATACATTTGAAACAGCAGCAGCTGTCAACTCCCGGACAGCCGGACACCCAAACACCCGGACACCCGGAATCTGTATTTCGCCAGGTAGCAACATAGAGAAAACTCTACGACTTATTTTGAGACAATAGACAATAGAATACAATGAGACAATAGAAGGCTTGAAAATGTTGCATATGATCTAAGTGGATATATATTTTTGCTCTAAAGTAGGACACATAAAACGGCAAGCTATCATTATCATTAACTTGTAGATATCCACTTGCTGTTGTTAGAGATCACTTTCCATCCTCGTGGAGTACATAAGCTTCACGACTGTAGCATAGCCTACAGTTGCGGCAGCCATTGGACTTTCACAAGGCTTCTTAATGAGGTGAGAAATGTATTTCCATCATGATATATGTAGCCTTGGATCAGGGCCGGCTCTTAACAGATTCATAGTCCTCTCCTCCATTCACCATTCACAATTCAGTTCGCCCCGATAGGATCGGGTCAGATCAGAGCAGTAACCTATTCTTAGAACTGGCGCACTTCAAAAAAAAAACGGAACAGAAAATATACTCAAAAAAAAGTAAGGCTGCTGCACTCTGGCACGACAGACCGTATAATACTCGTTCGCGGTCCGAAGAATCTGATATTCACAGTTTCAATATCTGTGCAGACAGACAAAGTACGAAGCCGATATACCCCTTTTGCCTCGTGCACAATTATAACAACTCGCAAACTAAGTGGAGTGCCCCCATTATAGAGGTTTTCAAACGCGACAGGGCATATGTTGAGATTGTCGATAAGCGAGAGAAGTATTATTTTAATTATAACAATTATAATACATTGTCTAATATAATAATTATATAAAACATTATGATAGCAGGTATTCATGCGATTATATAAAACTACAACTTGAACGCTTTCTATTGGAAATATACTCTCCTCAAACTATGTCGTCTTCGATATCTATTTATCTTCCCCTCGTTTAAATTTCATTCAAGAACTGAAATGAGTATATCAGTTTTGTGCAATGTCCGTCTTGCTGTCCGCCCATTCTCCCATCCGCACATCCGACCACAGCCCCCCACCCGCCCATCGCCCTTTCGCAAGAATGTTAATCATTTGGCCGCTATTAAAACTAAGGGTTTTTAATTTATAATATGTACTTGTGAGTACCCTTGTCTGATCAGGTGGTAACATTTAGCCGATACATTTACTAGGGGCGTGGCGAACGAGGGAAATACTATTTCCGGTATCTTAGAAACGCTGCTATTTAAAGTGGAATGTTTATTCGCATTGAAAATCCAAGATCGAAACAATAAAACAGAGCGAGAGGCATATAATTTTGAACTTGAGTTATATTTAGTACAAATCGTATTTTGAACTGCCAATTATGGGGCGTGGCAAATCGGAAAACAACTTTACATTCCAATGTTTTGAAGCTAACATAGTGGGCAGTGCTCGGCTACAGCGTTGATTGTTTAGTTTAAATATCTCTATGACATGGTATGTAATTATTTATAAAGGTATAGAAAAGAGGGATGAATATGATGCAACTGATCAGCAAATGCGAACCAACAGATGATAAACATGTATTTACGATAAAGCTATACTATTTTCATGTTCAGATTCGGATTCACATCTATTTATCAGAAGATAGATAGAAGTGACGTAGTCTTTGAAGAATACTACTAATCTGGGAGCTGAAATCTGAGGTGTATATCTTCTTTAAAGACTTCATAAAGTATAATTTAATTTTGTATCATTTATATAAATATATCCTTTCTAATTACATATTCATAATTAAAAAGAGATTCAAGAAATACAGACTGACCGTTATAAATGTAAATATTTATATTTAATAAAGCATTGATAAGAGTTCGCTTCAATGTTAGGCATTATTTTAATACCTTTCATAATGAGAATATGTAGAGACATGCACACATTTGTGTGTATATAAATGATGGCAAGTAGAGCTATTACCTACATTCATAAAGAGCTTTTATTACCTTGTGTATTTATGATTACATACGTATACCTGCACACACCCACACACACGCACACTCGCACAGGAAAGCAAAAAACAAGACATTTGAGTGAGACGGCAAAAATGATTTATTTTCTATTGGCAGACCTATGAGAATGCTTTCAGACTTCCATACCAATACAGTTGCACACGAGCTGTTGTTTGTTGGTGGATTATGGCAGAGTAGAAGAGTCCGGAAAAGGAGAGAGAGACGACGGTAGAAGAGCAACGTCGAAGAGTATCAGAGAGAGAAATGTGTGACAGAATGCCTCCACTGTAAATATGTGTGTGTTTATGCGTTAGTCTTTAGACTCTGCTTTTCCCATTATTTTTACATGTACATCCAGCACTACAGGTGTGTGTATATACACACATGTGTGATTACGCATGTATGTACATACTTAAAAGCCCAGAAAATAATACATCAGTTGTGTGTAAAAAATCGAGATAACGATATTTGAATAAATATATCTATTTTTATTTTATATAGAAAACTTTATCTCGAATAGTTGATTGCGTTCTTAACAAACGCAATGACACCAAAGTCTCTTAATAGGTTTGCTTTTTTTTGGCGAATATTTTTCATGTAATGAACGAACCGGTTTGGAAGATTATGGGCTTGAATTTGTCGAATAATGTTTAGAAGGAAAACGTGTTTTTAATAAGGACCATTGCAGTACTTTGAACCACCGGATGCTATCAATTTTCGACCTGGTTGTCTGTTTTTTTTGTGGTGTGTGGATGAAACAACCCCTAGGAAATGCAGATTTTGTTACACTTACATTAGATAATCTTAGACCCATCATGCTAGGGCCATTCTGCTCGATAAACATCACATTAACGTGATTTTGAAGCCGATTAGCTAACCAACGCCCAGAAGTTGCGCACTCATCATCCGTGGAACTGCTACCTCATGCTTTGTTATGGAAGTGGGTCTCGCAAGAAGGATGCTTTGAAAATACCTCAGCGACGCCACGGTGGGAAGGATTACAACATGCGCTGCATATACTTATAATCGAAAGAGCTACGAAGCAGCCAAAATTCTAGTGCTTTTGTCAATTATAGATAAATGATGATAGAGAAAAAAATTGAGCTGAAAACAAAGAAATTCTAATAAGACCAGTATTTGTACGGATAGGAAGACTACAATTGAATAATATGATCAAAAAACATTTTTGGAAAAATGTTACGTTGAATTTTTTTAAACAATTAATGAACTCAGAGATAACGCCTAACTTGTAGAAGCCTTTCCTTCTTTACATTTTTTTTTAAACTAAAACTCTTACTTAAATTTCAGATCTCATTACTTGTGTACTTAATTCGATCTAGAGCTTTGGACCTATACGGAGATAGTTTCCATATATCATATCATAACTGATTTGCTAAGACCTAAAAACTCGACGATCAGAGCAAATATCGAAATCTTTCAATATTCGATTTAAGCTAAAACCCTAAGAAAAATTAACCCAGTTGTAATAAGTGTATATAAAGCTTTGTACAGATCTAGATTTAAAGGAGAAAGACCAAGCGGAAAAGGCAGATGCAGAGGAAGAGGAAGAGGAAGAGGCCGGTAGGATGAGGACGTTGGCCCACTCAGTTGTAAAAAATGAGGAAAACGTGAAAGCAGAAAGAAAAGCTTATTGTTCAAAGCTTGAATGCCAAAACGTAGCATGAAAGCGATTCAAAAGAAAATTTAAGCACAGCAAAAAAGCTGAAAGAGGATTCTGAGGAGCAGAATAAAATAGAATAGAATACTCACAGAGACTACACAGACACAGATACAGATACAGATGCACACACACATACAGACAATGGAGAAAAGCGGAAAAGAAAGGAAAACAGAATAATACAACTTTTTGTGTTGGCACAAAGCCAGGCAAATGCAAAATGAATGTAATGAATAGAAAATACCGAAATGAAATATGTAATAAAAGCAGAAAAGAAAAGGCATTCATAAAACACACAATCATTTCCTACATACATAATTTGTTCACGTATGAAGTTTCACATACATGTACACATACATCGCACCTGCCTTATCACCCTCTCAGCAGGTGCACAGGAATGGAACGAAGTAACGAGATTGCGGGCCATATCCCAGCTGGGAAATATACTAATTTGGATAGTTCTGCCTTGCTATATAAGTGCTATATAATACTGAATTATACAGTCTTAACTTTAACAATTTGATTTCTTCAATTTCAACTTTAATTTCAACTTCAATTCCACTTAATTTTTTCAGTTTAATTTAGTTACATACTTTAATGATTGCCTTGTCTGATTTACACTTCAAAAGTGGAAATGGACCTATCAGTGGATTTTAGATCAACAACTCCGTTGTATAAAGGGCGTAATTTCAAGAGACGGTTATAGTAAGCTAAGGTGTCAAGGGTTTTTTCGACTTAATCAATAGGGGAGTTCAGCAGTATCCATAGAAATTTTGTCGAAGGCACGCCCCCAATATTAATAAATACAATTTATATTTATATATGTTCACCTTTATAGTTTCATAATATAAGTAGGGTACTTGCCAGTCTAGCATTTGAGAGTTGTCTGTGCTTACGTGACTACTCTTTGGAGTTTTCATATTCTAATTTCGCACAAAGGCGGAGTGACCTGTAGAGAGTAAGCTTTGAACAATGCGTACTGTTAGCTGCATTGACCAAAGAACAATGTCGCCTGTCGAGGCACTAAAATTAAGCGAATTTCGAATACATTGATTTTGTAGGGAAGGAAAAGAAAAAAACTTTAATTTATTAATTATATATTATATATAAACGTAGAAAATACGCTTTTGCTTAAGGGCTATACAAGCCTATGCTGAAGCTATGCGGTCTTAATCGGCAATGTTGTATGTGGACAAGAATATTGTCCCTCAGTTTTCGAGCTTAACTAATTGAGAATCGATTTGTAACTTATTATTGATTTCTTAGTTACCTGGCTGATCAATCTGCTTCGAATCAGCTGCAGATGGCGAATCATTTCCGAGACAGTGCGATCCTTTTCATATGTTCGCTGCGATTGTCCTCTTGCAATCAACGCGGCATTATCACTGTAATAAAATCAAACATTTTAAAAAAATATATATAATTTACGTTTCTATAAATGAAAATATTTCATAACTTTATTTTAAGTAGATACTATTTTCAATAATATACTTTTTTATATACTTTTTGAAATATCACCTCTATATGAGCCATTAGATTTACTAAATAAGTTTTTAAAACTCTTAAAGACTCTTTAAGAATTTGTCCAAGAACCTCTACATGTTCAAGTTTATATAGATATTGTACTAGAAACTTACCTCTGCAAAGAAGTCTATGAAGTATTCAAATTATTAATCCTAACATAGCGTCCTCCAAACACAAGTAATTCCATTTCTTTTTATATTTTTGCTCCCCTAATGTACCCGGTGAGCCACAGAATGATATTGATTCTAGAGGATAATGTCAAAGTTTCTGCGATTACTTGATTACTTTTGACTTCCTATTGCAAATTACCGAAGCTAATTCTATTAAATGTGCACACCTAGCAAAAACTACCAAATAATTTTGTGGCAAAGGAGCTGCGGGCTAAGTCAACGTACATTGGTTCATGTCTCTCATGATGCGACCAATTTTAATATAATTTAATAAATTTCAAAAGCAAATAATATTGAGCTTACCATTTTTTTAGGTTAAAGTATTAAATATAACCAAAATAACTATTTTGTTTTGCATGAAATGCAAATTGAAATATTTTATTAGCAAATATATATATTAAATTCGGCATTTCATTAATTTTAAAATGCATTTGATTTTAGTGAGCTCATCGATATATTTTTGTTGAGTCAAGGTTATACAGCCTTTGGTCCCACTGTGCCCTATTGGCACGTTCGCTCTGTTGCCCGTCTAGGATTGCTGTTAGAGTTTCGGCTGTAGACTATTTCTAAATAATTGAATGCTACAAACGGAAATTGCGAATATATAGTTGGAGCGGGCACCAAATTACGACCACAAACATCTGTATCCACACCAATCCAATTTGATTGGCTCCCGCTTCATTTGAAAGTGGACACCCAAATTAGACTATAGAAACACTTTGAGCCACCAATCAGCAGTCTTGTTTAATAAGTTTATAGTCATATATTGACATGCCGTCGGTACAGGTAGGTATAATTGAGGGTTCTATTTGCAGACGCGGGAGTAATAAATGCGTTATCGCAATTTTATGGATAAAAACTTTTCGTTTAAAAATAAAAATATATCATGTTTCAGAGTATTAGACTAGAGTAAACTAGAGTTAAGCCTATATACTACTCTATATGTCAGAGTGGTGCATTGGAATAATAATAATAATAATAACTTTCTTTCAGATATAAACCAGGAGAGTATATAACCATCTTGATAATGCTTGTCTTGTCTAAACCACTTTAAAAACCGAAAGAGCTATTACATAAGGAAACATTAAGATAAAACAAAGTCATACGTCTCCTAAGAACGTGAGTAGCTTTACACAGAGACACCGAAATTAGTTCAGTAGGTCAGTTTTATATATATATATATATATATATATATATATATTGAAAAAGAGATTATTTCCTCATTCAGATCACCTCATTTTGCTGGTATGCTAATGGTGACCTCCTCTTCTCGTAAATCTAAATGATTTGTCAATTGGCCACTGGTCAGATTAACCAAATTGGATAGTGGACGACTTATTCCATTCCATTCTTTTTATAAATTCCGTGCGTACAGAGCGAGACGTATAAGGTTTCCAGTTTCCAGTACAGGGCAAGTTGCCAAAGCTCTTATTTTGGATTGCATTAGACTGTTAGAAATATATAGAACGGGGGACTCACCTTAGAGGCTTAAGCATCGAGGAGCTGTCGTCTGAAAGACTTTGCTTGCCAAAGGTGTCCATGTCTGAAGAAGCAGGAGGGTCACTGAGAGTTGGCAGTTCCGTTCGGTTGGGTGTATATTGCTCGCCATCCAAAAACTTAGAGGTGGAAACTGGATTTCGAGTAAGTGGTAAGTGATGAAAATGACGCTGCTGCTTTGCGCCGATAACATCCTGATCCAGATCCATTATTTGATCTTTTGCATCTGTGTCCGGCTTATCATTCAGTTCTTGCTTTATCAGACCACTATAGTGACTCCTGAAAATAGCAACACTTGCGTTCTCAACATTGTCATTAGTTAGTTTGACTGACTCATCATTGGTGCACTGCTTCGAGTACGTTGAAAGGGTATCTATGTTAAGAGATTTTTGATCATGCATGACCTGAATATCGATCTCAGGAGCTGGCCCCATCTTCAAAATGCCATTTAGTAATCGCGACTTTGACGTTTTTTTGATACGTTTCTTTGACGTTACAATTTCATGAGCTGACTGCAATGAAAGTTAATACAAATAAACGAGTTATTTCAAATATGAATTACATATATATCTGGAGCTTATTTCCGTACACAAGTTTTATAAATTCGCTTAATCGTAATGAGGTCAAAAGAGTATAATATTTTGTCAACTGGTTTTCTTGCTTTCCAACGGGCTTCTATTAAGGTGAGTCATTGTGAATAAATATAGCAGCCTTGAGCCGTCAAAGACAGCTGTCGGAAGTCGAGATAGTTGCGAAGTACTCACCTGACTAACAGTCTCAAGTTCCGATTCATTGGAACTAGCTCGTGGACTAATGCTCCTTGTGTCAATGTCCAAATATGTGAGCTCGCCATCGCTAGCCGATACTGGACCCATTCCTAGCCCCATAAATTCCAGACTCTTGCCCTCAACATCGACCTCGTGCTCATCCTCGCCTTCGCCCTCGTCGTCTTCGTCGCCGTCGCCGTCGCCGTCGCCGATGCCGTCGCTAGTTTTCAAAATATTACAGCCGGATATATCATTGTCATTATAATTATTGTTATTGTTGAAAAACTGTTGTTGCATCTTAGCAGCGGAAAGTGCAATTTCGCTTAAGTTCAACTGGAAACTGAATTCTTGTCCAGTCTCTGTTGCAGCTCCTTCAAAGTCTTGTGAGCTATTTGAGTCGCCATCAAATTTATTCGGTGGCGATTTGCGTTTTCCCGACATTCTGTGAAAAAAATAAATAATAATTTCACATCAATCTATGGAAGCCTGAATATAAGAATAAGAATATATCGATATCGATATATTTTTGTTATAAAATGGGAAATCAGGGTATAATGGTTGTGTGCAAAAATATGTAATGGTCAGAAGGAGGCGTGGCAGACTCCAGTATATATATTCTTGATCAGGACGACAAGCCGAGTCGATTGAGCCCTGTCTGTCCGTCTGACCGTATGTGTGAACGCGTCGGACTCAGCATCTATAAGAGCTAGAGACTTGAAATTTTTTAGGTCCGTGTATAGCACGCGCATATCAAGTTTGTTTCAAATATTCGATAAATATTGAAATTCAGTTCATAAATTATATCTAAGACGTCTTAAAAGCTAGAGCATCCAAATTTTGTATTTAGTCTTATGTATTTGTTGGATTTTGTTAACCGGCTCCGAATTTCAACAAATTCTTAAAATTTAAGTTCAGTTGGAAATAGGGCCATTATGTGAGGACGTTCGCATCTCAACCAAGCCAATAGGATATGTAGATCATATGCTGAATTCATTAAAATCTATTAAGTCAAGAAGAAGTTATTAAACAAAACGTTTGGCCAATTTGCAAAAGCACATGTCAGCAGCGCCAAGCGCACTCTTTTTTCCTATACGTGTGCACACATACATTCAAATACGTGTATTCTTTTCAATTCGAAGAATCGAAGTTGCGATTAAATATTGCTTGAATTATCAGATGCTACTCTACTTCAAATTTGAACTCTTTTTGTGGAAGGTGCAGTGGCTGTGTTGGTAGAGGCGGCGCTCGTATGCAGCTCGGTCCGGGGCTCGAGACCAGTTGAGTTGAAACATTTTTTATTGTGTAATTTTTTTTTTTTTAATTATGAACTGGCGGTGTTGGTAAAGTTGGTGCACGTTGCGCAAATAATCCGGGTTCGAAACATGGTCTCGCAATGACGATTTTTATTTGTTTTCTTTTTTTTTTTGAATACTCGATACAAACTACGGAAAATTTAAAAAAAACTCAGAGGACTGGGATCAGGGTATCTCCTAGTCGGGCACACCGACTAGAGCTTTCTTACTTGTTTTTATTTTAATTTTATTAATTGGACTTTAGTCAAAAATTTGTACGTTCAGATTCTTTGCTACCTTACAAAATGTCGATTTATTTTGCAATTAAGATATTATCTCTAAATGCATTTATTCTTTAAAGCTGCAAAAGCCCAAGTTCAAATCCCGGAGAAGTCTAATTTTTGTAATTTCGTATTTTGCAAACGCAGATCGGCGGTGGTTCAGGGAATCGCGCTAGATGGGCAGCCAAATACGAAAAATATAGTTCTGTCGTTCTTTCCGGAGAATACATATCAAACAGAGTATATTTATATTTAGCGAAATCTTTCAGCATCAACTTCCGTTTATGTGTCTCACTCCCGTGCAATTCCCTCTCCCTCTCCCTCTCCCTCTCCCTCTCCCTCTCCCTCTCCCTCTCCCTCTCCCTCTCCCTCTCCCTCTCCCTCTCCCTCTCCCTCTCCCTCTCCCTCTCCCTCTCCCTCTCCCTCTCCCTCTCCCTCTCCCTCTCCCTCTCCCTCTCCCTCTCCCTCTCCCTCTCCCTCTCCCTCTCCCTCTCCCTCTCCCTCTCCCTCTCCCTCTCCCTCTCCCTCTCCCTCTCCCTCTCCCTCTCCCTCTCCCTCTCCCTCTCCCTCTCCCTCTCCCTCTCCCTCTCCCTCTCCCTCTCCCTCTCCCTCTCCCTCTCCCTCTCCCTCTCCCTCTCCCTCTCCCTCTCCGATCTTCTTACTCCGATCGTGATATTGCAGTTGGAGTAGCACGTATTGTGTGTTGCATGCAACATATGCAGCAAATCTTTAATTTTACTGTGGAGGGGGTGCTCTGTGGGTGACTTTGACTCCACTCATGCAGTCCTCTTTAGTTTCGATTTTTTCGTTTTTCGTTTTTAATTTTCTTTTGAATAAAATGACAAATTAGTAACAACATGGACTCTCGTATTTATTTTATACACATCGCAAACGCAACAACGATAAGTGCTATTCAATGAATACTATATATATATTTATGTATATATATATATATATATATATATATATATATATATATATATATATATATATATATATATATATATATATATATATATATATATATATATATATATATATATATATATATATATATATATTTTTTTTTTTTTATATATATATATATATATATAAAATTAAATAATTTCGATTGAAATGTATTTGATCAAGGTAGCTTATTCAAGCGGTTGGTGATTGTGGAAGGAGTGCCTCAGTGAGTCAATGACTGTTTCAATGAGATGAGATCGCTCTGCACGCAGCGGACGCATAGTAGGAGAAACTGGCACAGGCTGATCGACTACGCTAAGTTTTCACAGAGAGCGTGTTCCCTAAATGAAATATTGGAATTTGAAATAGAGCAGCGCTAGATAAAAAAATAGATATGTTTAGGCCAGTTGCGGTTGTGACAGATCGGGATAAAGCTTATCTTCCACAACGAATGGTCGGACAGAGCTACATGTTGGAGTGTAGTCCCCATCTTAAGTGCAGAGACAATCAGCCCCAGCAGTCAGCCAGAGAGCAAAAGAGGAAACAGAGCTTCGGTTGGGGAAGCGACAAAGACAACAAATGATTGTTTTTGCGATTTGCTTTGAACTGAACATTTTATTTATAATGATGACTTCCGTAACTCGTATGAATAGACGCGACACCAACACACGCACACACATAGTCATCAATTCAAATATTGACATGAACTCTTGCAAATAGCTTCCGCAAGTTGACTTTAATGGGCCTTTTTGGCAGTTTTGGATATGTTTTCTTATTTTTACACATACGCACACACATACAGATGCACATACATGAACGGACAGAGCTTATAATACGTGTCAAGCATGTGTAATAAAGATACTAAACAGTGTGGGTTTAAAACTTAACTTTTGTGTGGATAAAATTTAAGTAATTCTCATTTCTATGACTTGTTATTATATTGTTAAGGTATTATTGTAAGTCAAGCAAAACTGAAGCAGATCGATAACAAACTCATCAGAATCAGTTAACAAATCAATTTGACGGACAGACATCCAGTGTAATAAAGTTCTTAACAGAGGAAGTCTTAATCTGCCGAAGCTTATCAGAATATGTCCTTTGAAGATCATGAAATTTAGAGGCGAATTTTTATTTATAATTTGCATATTTGAGGAAAATATTTAAATAGTTGAATGCCCATGGCGTAAGACAAATAGTATCCAATAAATAAATAAATAAATTAGTTACGGCAAATGCTTGAATCAATAGACACAACCGCGACGTAAATAAACAACCTCCAACTCCTCATCGATTGTCGCTGCTGCGGGTTGTTTCAGTTCTACAATATGGATTTGGATTCCGGTTAGGAATCGGATGCACATTCGGATAGAGATTCAGAGTAGAGTGAAGTTGTTGCTCACTTATCCTATTCGAATGCGAAGGAATAAGCTCGCATCTACTCAGCAAAGCCCACACAATCAATAAGTAGTAAGAGCATACATAAATGCAATAAGAAGTTTGACTCTGAAGTCCGATATTAACAATCCAAAGTGGAGTTCACACCAAACCACCGTTTGCCTCCATTAGCGAGTATCAAAACAACTCGACAGACGAACGGTGTGTGAGAGCACAGTCATTTAGAAGTAGTCGGAGCCAATATTCTTTGCGTCCATTTAGATGATTTTCATTACTTTCTATTTCTTGAACCATTTATCATTTGAGGTCGAAGCAAGTGCCTACAATTTGTCCGTGATACTCGTAAAAAGCCATCGACACAGTTCACGAATTGGGGGAAGACTTTTCATAGCTCAGCAAATTGAAATGGGAAGGTTTGCTTCAAACATTTACTTCGCATCACTCCTTGCCTTGACTCGAACATTCCCACATTTCCAAGTATGAACAAAAGCCCACAACATATATTCATAGCTTTATATTAGAAATATAAGTAGATGTGCAAATACAAACGATTTATGCGTGGGAGTGTGACGGGGGGCTTAAGGTAAATAAAATAAATATTATTCTTCCTTTTTAAGCACCGCAACCAAACAACATGAAGAACATACAACATATACAGAAAATAAAAAAATAAAAAAGAGAAACACACACAAATGCCTGGGCGCAATAATGAATTTTCAATTGAAATGCCCAACCACCTCTTCGGGAGCTCTGGACCTGGACCCACGACCACTTCCCATCGACATTTGGCATTGTTTACGAGCCCTCGGCAGTAGCCTTCATGTCTTTGCGCACGTGCTGGCATTAAAAATGAATTTGGTTAACCGAAGGACCACCGGCGGTGGAATAGCTCTAATGGGGTCTACTTATTTGAGAGAATGCCGATTACCACTTTGCAAATTACCAACTCGAAAGGCGACTCCCCGAAACGAATGCTGAATGTGAAACTCAATCTCTGATAGCTCTGATAGGCTACGGACCAATCCACTTTCACGTTTACTTTCTTCGGGTTGACTAAAGGTAATTGGACATACTGCGAGAAATATAGCGAGTAGGGCTTAAGTCTAACAATACATTTTACCTTAGTATGTTGTATTGTAAGGCTGTATAGTTAGTGACTTTAATCGATCAAATTTGTTTATACTGTCGGAAGACTGTTCAGTACTGTCAGTAATCAAACATCTGCGAATTTTCGACAATATATGCTCAATGGCATATACATATACAGAAATGCATTCTTTATGCTCATAAACGCCTTAATACCCTTTCCAAGACATATCATGATTTTGCTATACTCTTCTCTCAGAAAAAAAAGCGACCTCTATAGTCTACCATTCAGAAATGTAGCTTCGTTCAATGCCTTGATTTGTATACTCTGATCCTATCGAAAATGGGAAATCAGGGTATAATGGTTTTGTGCAAATGTATGTAACGGGCAGAAGGAGGCGTGGCAGACTCCAGTATATATATTCTTGATCAGGACGACA